TTTTCGGGATTTACTTCAATTCTCCATTTGCGGAACCAATCGCCGAGGCGGTTGGCGGCGCTTTGGAGTCGAGTGGTTAGTTGACTAAGGTTGCGGTCTGAATAAAAGAGCGCCGTGTCATCCGCGAAAAGCGCGAGATTGACGTGGGGGTCTTTTGGTATATCACTCGTGTAGAGCGTAAAAAGTAAGGGTGAGAGGCAGGAGCCTTGTGGAACGCCAGCCGTGAGGCGGCGGCTAGTGGATAGGGCGCCTTCAACTCGATATCGAAAGGAACGGTTCGACAAGAAGGCCTGAATGGTGTGTACAAGCCTGTCTGGCACTTTGAGTGAGAACAGCTTGTAAAGCAAGCCGTTGTGCCAGACTTTGTCGAATGCCTTTGCGACATCGAAGAAAAGAGCCCCCGTGCTAATATGTTTAGGGTGATTTAGGCCTTTTAGGATATGTTCCGTTAGGCGGTATAATTGATCGGGACAGGAATGTCTTGCTCGAAAGCCGAATTGTTCCGCCGGTAGAAGGCCGTTGGAAAACACGTGGTCTTTGAGCCTGTTTAATAGAAGCCGCTCGTAAAGCTTCCCCAGGCAACTAAGGAGGCTGATGGGACGATAACTAGAGGGCTGATTGGCTGGTTTATTCGGCTTGCGAATGCCGATAACCGTGGCTTCTTTCCAGTCGTCCGGAAAGGAACAACTGGAGAGTAAAGTGTTGTAAATGGTCGCCAGTAAACAGATAAGTGGGCCAGGGAGAGCTTTAAGGATTTTATTACTAATATTGTCTGGGCCCGGGGCGGATTTGGGTTTTAAATTTTTGATAATATCTTGGACCTCTTCGGGGGTCACTGAGTTTAATGGATCGCCTTCCGGTGGAAGCGCAGCCCTAGTTTCGATAACGCGGTCCACCTCCGTTAGGTGGGCTGTGTCGATGTGTTCGCGCGATGGCGTACATTGCTGCTCTAGGTTGTCCGCAAGGCATTCGGCTTTTTCGGAGTCATCTAGGGCTAATGAAGTGCTATTAGGCATTGCTAACGGCGGTAGGGATTCGCGGGGCTCTGCTTTCAGACTGCGGGCCAACCGCCAGTAGGCGGTGTGCGATGGCTCGATGTCCTCTAGGAGATTGTCCCACGTTGTATGTCGGTGTTCCGATACACGATCTTTGACTTCTAGCTGAAGGCGTCGAAGTAGGGTTCGGTTCGATTCCGATCGGTATCGGTCGAAGGCGCGTTTGGCTGCATTTTTCTGTCTAATTAGCAGTCTTAGGTCGGGCGGAAAGTTAAACCGTCGGTCGCCCGACAGTTTCACCGTCCGTTCCGAGTCTGTGACTGCGGAAGTAATGGTTTCTCGGAGACTTGCTATCGCTCGATTTGCGTCATCGAACGTAGCTATCGTCTCGGGTAAGTCTACTAAGTCCTGGGGGTCCAAGGCCTTGAGTTTGACCTCAAGGCGATGCCAGTCCACTACGGTTTTGGTCGGAGGGACCGCGCCGGCGTTCTGGCCCAGTTTGCACAGGACCGGCCTGTGGTCTGATTCTAATTCTTGGATTGTCTCTATCGACGTGATGTCGAGGGAGACCTCCTTGAACAACATGATATCAAGAATACTCGGTGTCGAATGCTGGTAATCGTCCACCGTAGGATATCTTGTGGGAGTCACAGGAGCGATTATGCTATAATTTAAATCGTCAGATAAGTTAAAGAGCTGCCTACCGTTGTTGTTAGCGCAAGTTTGGGGGTCCCATGAGCCGTGTTTGCAGTTTAGATCTCCTGCAATTATCACGGAAGGGCCTAAGTTAAGTAGCGTTTCTAAATCGCTTTGTAGAAGAGTTTTAGTTTTATTCCCCGAGAGGTAGGCTGAAACTAGTACAAGCGGCCTGTGGCCGGTGAGCGCTAACCTACACGCGGATGCCTCTATATGTCTTAGCTCTGGGATATCGAGCGGGCTACAGTGCAAGGACCGTTTATAATATATTAAGGTACCTCCCAGACGGTTTGCTAACCGGTCGTGGCGGACTATATTATAATTTGCGATTTTTGGATCGCGTCTGCTAGGTTTCAAGAAGGTCTCTTGCACTAGAAATATATCGACGTTATAATCGCGAAGGAATTCTGCGATTTCGTCCCTTTGGCCCCTAATGCCGTTTGCGTTAAAATACGAAACAACCAGAGCCCGAGGTTTTAATCTACCTGCGGTTGTACTTTCCATTTTAGTTTTAGTAGCGGTTCTAGGTAACGACGCGGCGAAGCGCGGTTTTATTGCCCGGACTATAAACCTTTATGGTTGATTTGTAAACACCCAAAGGGCGTCTACAAGTTTTTTGTGCTCGTTGAGCGCATTAAGTCGATCGGTGCCACATGTGGCGGCCGATAACTTTGTAGATAGGACGGCGAGCTCTTCCCGGTTTATGCGTTCCAGGAAGCTGCAGATGTTTGCCATTTGGGCAAAAGGGTCGTCTTGGTTCGCGGAAACGACCGGTGTAATAAATGCACCTGCGGCCTCGGTGCTTGTTGTTTGACAGGCTGCGGTTGGAATGTCGTCGGTCGTGAGGCGACCGGAGGCGCGGCTACCTGCGCGACTGCCTGAGGTTTCGCCCAGGCGTTTACGACGGGTGCGGGCGCGGGAATGTACTTCGCCGGCGCGGATTTCGGGGCCGCGATTTTCGCGAGCGTAATTTTTTGCGGGTGCTTTCCTCGCGGGGGTTTTTGGAGCTTTAGCGCAGCCCCTGTAGCTAGCCGGGTGGCCGGTAGTCAAACAATTTACGCAGTCCGGTGGATCTGCGCAATCTTTAGGACGCGTGCAATCTGTCGTGCCGTGGTCACCGATGCATTTGACGCACCTAGGGTGAGCAAAACAGTTGCGGGCTGTGTGGCCATAGTGTTGGCAGTTATGACACTGCGCAACAACGCCTGACTTCCGTGGAGGCTCAACGACGAGTTCGCTAAGCCCACAGAGCCTCTTCAAATTAAAAATTGCCTTACCTTCCGGGGTAGGGTCCAACTCCACCATTACAATGTCCATCGGGACACGGGTTCTGGGGTGACGTAGGCGACGAACGGCGTGCACCGGGTATCCCTGAGTGCGGATGTCGATTTTTACATTGTCGACATCCGACTCTTTCGGGATTCCCTTTATGACTACCCGAAGTTTGCGTTCTTCAGGCAGCGAGTAGGTATGGAAACCTACTTTGTTTTTCGCGTAAATATTTAGTGACGCGGCGGAAGTCATCGATGCTATCGAGGTATACACGGATACCTTGATGGGTGTTCTTCGACCGGGGGTCTCGAATATTGTGGCGTTCGAACCATACGCAAATTTGATGCCATTTAGCTTTCTCCTGGATGATGATAGGCGGAGGAGGCTTGGCTTTTCTTTCGGCGGCGTATTCGGGTGCCGGTTGGACTGCCGCGGCCGCCTTTTTGGCGGGCGTCGCAGTGGATCTATTAATTGAGGTGGCGGCCTCGCTTTCGGGGTCGCTATCTACAGCGGGGCGTTTCTTGCCCTTCTTTTTTTCGTCCAGTGACGACGGTGAAGCCGTCGTCATTGGGTTTACCGGCGGGAGTTAAATCTACCTCCATATCCGATCCGCCGTCCGAGTATGAGTCGAGTACGACGGTGCACAAGGAGGCCGGGGTAGCTTGCGAGGAAGGCGCGACGGGCGTGTTCGCAGCGGCGGATGTCGACGCGACGGGCGCTTCTTGCGTCGCGGAAGGCAACGGGGTTACGGACGCAGAGGGCGCTGGAGATGGCGGCGATGCGATTGCCGGTGAAGGCGGGCTGTCGTTGGCGTATTCAACGACTAATCGTTGTTCGGATTCGAACGCTAGGTAGCTTTCCCAAATGTCGGGACAGCGTTGTCGGACGAACTCCTCGAAAAGGGAGCCCATCGTAAAGTATGTGCCTTTGGGGCTTAGGCCCCGCCGGCGTGTGTAAACTTAATAAGCCTCCCCACCTTGCGGCAGGGAGGAGTGTGCCTAAAAATAACACTTAATTCGCCTGCGCTTTAGGTGCGCTAGGGTGAGTACCCTAGCTGTCGCCCAATGCAACAAGCACACAGTTAAAAATTAGGCAATGCCGCCTCTGAGGCGAGAAATGTGTGTAGAATTCTACTTACGGACAGGAACCTGCCTACGAGCACAACACTACACTAACACTAAACTATTGCACTACTTGCACAAATATTTAAATTGCAACCAAAGTTGCGAGTAGCGTCTAATTCGGGTGGCATGTGCCCTCCGTCTTAGAGAGACGTCCTTTCCGTACGAGAGCACGAAGCGGAATCAGGTTGTCAACGCATCTGTAACTCTCGGGTGTGGCAGATGTCCATGGGCGGCGGTATTCACTCAAAATCAGGTGAGCCGTCTGCTCGTTTGAAAACTTTTCGCATAAAAAAAACAGCCTCCGCCATCTCTTTCCATTTTTTCTTTTAAGTAGCAATGTTCATCCAATTCTCTTGCTATCTCTATGATGTCATCTGACCATCTTTTTCTTGGTCTTGCTACTCTTCTTTTGGCTCATAGTGCTAGCCATTTCGTTACTCGAAGAGACCACCTATTCTTCTTCTATCTTTGTATCTGGCTACATGTTCAGCCTATCTCCAGTTCTGTTTTAAGCTAAGCTGAAGTGCATCTATCAGTGTGGTTTTTTTGCCAGATGGCTGTGTTTATAATTTTGTGAATTCTTCTTAGTTTTAGGAGTTTTCTGTCCATTCCGTGTTCACAAACCCTGTGAACCCACGTTTGGCTTCCATAGGTCATACAAGGGAGGCTGCAAGAATCCATTACTATAAAATAATTAAAAATTACATATTGAAACTACGAATTCTAGAAAAGACAACATAATATAATTTATTTTTCTATTATTATATTGATTATGTATTCAATAAAACAGCACACAATTTTTTCAATAATTTTTATTAAAAATAGATAACATTATCAATGTCACAACCTATGCCGTGTTTCAAGTTCAACTATATTTTGCCGTATTTTTGAAACTAGTGATTTTTATAGTTTATGATTTGAAATAACCAAAAGTAACAAAATCGTCTACGATTTCGAGAATAGTTCGCTTGTAGTAATCTATAGATGCATTGTTATCCCTTTCCTCTCCGCAAATGTGCTTGCTCTTCAGCAATGCATCCTTCTCCAGGCCTAGCCACAAGGAAAAAGACATGTTTGTAGTCACAAAACAATAAGGCGCCACTACCTTAAGATCACAATGAAAATCACTTCTAGAATATATAATGTCTGGGTCAAGAGAATGCTCCAACAGAATTTGACGAAGGTGATTGTAGTAGGTTTCCAAGAAAAAATCGTAATATATACGCCTATTTTCAGCTTCTGTACTGGTAAATAGGAAACTGACAACATCTTGAGCTGGGCACAAGAGACGAATAGTCTGAAAATCCAACACGCACGCTTTGATGGGCTTGTTACCCTGTAATAAAAATAATTATTTATAATATTATTAATAAATAATTAATATTATATAAAAATATTTATTTAATAAAACAGTCCATCGCCGATACTGGATAATTTCAAATAACTAATGACCAAAAGATATTAAAAATGAATCCAAATAAGATATACTGGTATATTTAGACCTTCATCTCACCGCCTAGTGTTTAATACTTCAGCCTTGCGATTTGCGGCGCGCCAATGTATCTACTTTATTTTTCCGGATTAAAAGCAATTCACGCATGATTATTATCTTATATTTGCCCTCATTTTAAATTTTATTTATTTATTTACAAAACCGTGAAACTTACGCATAATCAGATATTTCTTGTTTTTCCGGTAAAATAAACAGTTTTTATACGATAAAATTTATAAGACTGACGATTTCACGTTCAGATAAACACACAAGTGACACATCTAATTTGATTGCACCGAAGATTGTAAAATGAGAAAGTTTTTTCTTATTTTATCTTCGAAACAATTTATTATTCTTATTACTTACAAAATAGGCAGATTTCCTCAAAATATTCCCTATTTAATTTTATTTTAGATATTTTTGGAAAACTTACAGCTAGAACAGTCATAGTATGATCAAAATTAAAGTCTAATTATAAGTTTTCATCTTTACCAAACACGAGATTTGACATTAAAAAAATGTAACAGCCTAAACCTGTCCCAGTACTGGCCAAAGGACTCTATATAGAGGTTATCAGGGCATAGGTAGTCCCCAACGCGACCCCACTGCGGATTGGCAGACTTCACATATCTTTGAAATTTTTTGTTTGTTCATGATATATTCTTCACCGCTAAGCACATGATAAATCAACACTTAAAAATTAACAATTTTATTGGTGCCGGCACGGGGATTTGAACTTAGCTTATTAGAATATATCGAATTAAATCCAAGCGCCCGGATACTTCTCATGGGGTGATTTTGGGGGAAACACTTACGCATGCGCAAGGTCTGGTCTGGTACCTCGGACCGACTAAAATCCCACAATAATGGGCGCACATCGACAGGGCCACGGGAGCGCTTTCGAGCGCCTTCAATGCGCCTTTTGTACGACTACCGATCTCCCCCAAGTTCGCTCACCAAAGACCATGTGAGCCAGGAGCGCCATTGCTGATACACAGCAAGCCACACAGCTCGCCTATATCTGTGACTCTGCCGCTCACCACATTTCGGAGGCCCCACCACTACTGCTTCAGCCGTGCAGCCCCACTGAGCCGCGGAGGATAGTGAGAGCGCCAAAACCCGATACCCTCACTCCTCTTCTTCCACGACTCCGCCTTAGTTGCAGAAGACTGGGAGAGTAGCAACTCCTCTACCACCCTCGATCTGGCCCCGCACCCTCCTAGCGTGCATATAGAGTGGGCTCAATAAGCCCATTCGGAGCGGCTCTCTCGGGTGCGGGTTCCTCTTGGCTTCACCGAGGTTGACCAAGTCACGTCTCCTAAGACCCTCCGCCACGACAAAACGGGAAGCCAGTCGGAAGGGAAGCATCAAATAGACTACTCTATATCGCGGAATTGGATGGTTCGTATGTTCTCTTTCTATAAAGAGAATAAAGGCCAATAACTGTAAAAAACTATGAAACGTTAATACAATTATCTTCCTTCTTACTAAATGAAACGGATTTTACAGATTATATCGCTTTTTTAATTTTAATCCTTAATTCCCGACGTTCTTTCCAGAGTTCAAGGTCACGGGACAGTCTGTCAAGTAATAAAATCCGTAAAATAGACCCATTTAATATTTACATCATTCGCGTAAAAACAAGAAATCAATATACCTACTTACTTCATACTTGTACAAAATATTTTCTTTCCAAAAATCACCATGCCCATATACCAGTCGTTTCGCTTTACATACACTATCATTTACAATTTCATCGAAATTGGCAGCGACCGTAGTGAAAAGCTTCCCACGTTTTGTATCCTTAAATTTGTCTACGTGGTTCTTCAAAGAACCCCTCAGAGCGACCATCAATTCGTGCGGATATACTGAGGAATACGGCTTCAGCAAGAAGTTCGGATCGACGCTGCCTCTTCTGTTTTGTAAAAGCATTGAGAGGGCGTGAAGTTGGGCCAGCGAACGTAACGACACAACCACGTGCTCAAAGTCTAGAAACCTGTTGCCGTGATGCCGCCGGTATCCATCCTCACACATGTCTTTTAAAACAATCACCTCGTTAAATTTGGAGGTATCAGAATAGTAGCACTCGGGGAATAACTCGCTTAAATTCTTCTTCGACAAATTCTTATAATGCGGTATAATCGTCGTGTAAAAAAAAATTTCCACATCGTATAAGTATTCGAGTACGCCAGCATCTCTTAATTCCTGTTTGTCCGGCGGCATTTTCACGATTAAATCCCTGCATACCGGTATATCGTCGCTTTCTCCGACTAGTGTTACCGGTATTAACACTCCGAAGTAATTCTCAATTGTTTCGTCAACATCACGATATCTCAATCGATAACTTTGCAATCCGAGTTTTCCCGCGACTCCATTCAAAGTCGACTTTAGACGGTCTTCATAGTTAGACATTTTGCACAGCTGTCGCGACTTGCACTGGAGTAAATGGACTAATACTCGAGTATTTATGTACCTCACTTAATAATAAATATGATATCAGACAATAAACAGCGGGAAATTAATGTCTGTAAATAAATCCTTATCTCAAAATTAGTGTACATAGTTCTTTGTTCAATTAATAGCCCTAATGCGATTTAATACGGAAACAAACACGTTTGTCTATTGTGCACTGATATACAAACATCAAAAACGTCTAAGCAACTCCAACTAATATTTCTATGTCGTATACGTCGTTATGGCAATCAGCCGTTTAGCTTAGTGGCATATAAATAGGTGCAGCAGTTCTTGGGTGGTGGAAAAATTTACAAAGTCTTACAAAACCTTCCTCTGGAGCATATCACTTACGCTCTTAATTGGATTTAAGTCAAAAGTAAAAATTAAAATGCACAAAATTATGATAAAAATAAAATTATATCGTACATATTGAGCTTCTTTTTCTATTCTTGTATTGTTGCAGATTTTAAAACATTATAAAATTATTAGAAATTGTCATATATCTTTCATGACATGTTTAGCAGGGAACAAATGTTTGATTAGATTCCATTTTTACACCTCCAGGTAAAAGTAAACGCACGGTAATTGAATAAAAGGGCTGCGAAAACCAAAGTAAATGTTGTCTATACGAAGAGGTTATCCATAAACTTTTGATAAAATCCGAGATCCTAATTTTAAGCGACACTTACATTTTAACGTCCATCAAGTAATTTAGAACTTTACATGGGTAAAAGGAATACCGAATGAGAAAATGGTTAATCTGCACATAATATTATTTTATTATGAAGAGAACAAACATAAATAAAGTGATCCTACCCACAAGTAGACTGCGTAGAATAAGTAATTCTTTTATGGGATAATTCTCGTTTCTATAAAAAAATCCCAGAAAACGTTCAAAATGCATTAATAGCTAAATTTAAAAAAAGTAGTAAAAGAACGTTTATGTGTTAAAGGCTATTATAATTTTAAAGACTAGCTGACCCGTTAAACGTTGTTTTGCCATATAAATTATTTCTAGGGAATTTGTGAAACTGAACATAGAAACAGAATTTTCGAAACGCACCCATAAAATGTTTGACAGGTAGGAACAGTTTCTATGGGAAAATAAAATTGTTGCTATTTATATTTTCCATGCAATTTTTCCATAATTTCTTATCGTTTAAACCTTCCCTCGACTGCCAGATATATTTCAAAACCAAAATTAACCAAATTGGTTCAGCCGTTTTCGAGTATATAGACTAGCTGACCCGCAAACGTTATTTTGCCATATTAATTATTTGTAGGGTAGAAAAAAGTTTTTGGGCTGGACCATCGTTAACATTTAGGGGGATGAAAAATAAATGTTGTCCGATTCTCCACCAATGCACACAAAATTTCACGAAAATCCGTCGAGCCGTTTCGGAGGAGTTCAATTACAAACACCTTGACATGAGAATTTTATATATTAGATTATTTAAATGATAAAATAAATTAAATCAGAGTTCTTATATCATATTTGTAACATATTCACGAAAAAGTTAAAAAAAGGCCTCTGATTTTCTTTCGCCGGATCTTCTCAGTACAGTGGCTTTCTTTTCCGAACCGGTAGTATCTTGTATCTTGTATTAACTGATGTTTTGGCTTTCAGTCCCGAGACTATTAAAGCTTCATCTGACGCAGAACCGGTGGGCTAGCCAGAACCCACGGGTTTGGGGCCCTCCGATGTGGGTAGGGCCGCGCACGTGCTCATGCGTGCGATTAACTACGGAATGTCATCTAAGGGCCATCGAGGTTGCGGTGCGGACCGAAACCCCAATGGCCGTCGACTGTGTTTTTAGCTAATCGGTGGCTGGGGTCGGTGAGAACCGCCCTGGAACGCGGGTGTACCTTGTATACGCGTTGTGTTGGTCTCGCCGTGCTCGGGCGAACTATTGTGTTTGTTGTTACACTAGCTGTGGGTGTAGTGTTATCCGGCGGGACCCCCGGCGGTGGGTCCGGCGTATCTAAGTCCCCTTCCTCGACCGGGTCGATGAGGACGTTTCGCGGGCGACGCTTGTTGACGTTCGCGTTTGTGTCGGTTTGGTAATTTGCTGCGCTTACCACCAGAGGGTTGGGATGATGTTCGGCTCTATCGAAGAACCGTTTTGTCAGGTCTTTAAAATATTCGCGAATCGTCGGGAGTCTGCAATCGCTGTGCAGATCGACGTTGCGTTGATACCACTGCGCACCGGTTGCGCGGCGGATGAACTTATTTTGTACTATTTGCAGCTTGTACAAGCGAGTAGGGTGCGTGTGGGCGAAGATCATGCATGCGTAGGACATAAAAGGTCGTACGCAGGTCTTATATAATAGTAATTTGTGCCTTAAGGGCATTTTACTTTTAGCGTTAGTTAAATTGTGTAGCCGGCCGGAGACTATTACGAACGTTATTAATGTGCGTAGTAAATGACATACGCGAGTCGAAAGTGACTCCTAAGTATTTGGCCTTTTTCTCCCAGGGGAGCGGTTGCCATAAAGGGATATTTGCCCCAACTTTCTGCATTGGCGAGGACCATTATATAGATATGACGGGTAAGTACTTCGTGTGAAGTGTATCACCACACTCTTTTCGGGATTTATTTCTATTCTCCATTTGCGGAACCAATCGCCGCGGCGGTCGGCGGCGCTTTGGAGTCGAGTAGTTAGTATTAGTTATAGTTAGGTGGACTGTATCGGTGTGTTCGCGCGATGGCGTACATTGCTGCTCTATGTTGCCCGCAAGGCATTCGGCTTTTTCGGAGTCATCTAGGGCTACTGAAGCGCTATTAGGTCTAATTAATGGCGGTAGAGATTCGCGGGGGTCTGCTTTCAGACTGCGGGCCAACCGCCAGTAGGCGGTGTGCGATGGCTCGATGTCCTCTAGGAGAGTGTCCCACATTGTATGTCGGTGTTCTGATACACGATCTTTGACTTCTAGCTGAAGGCGTCGAAGTAGGGTTCGGTTCGATTCCGATCGGTATCGGTCGAAGGCGCGTTTGGCTGCATTTTTCTGTCTAATTAGCAGTCTTAGGTCAGGCGAAAAGTTAAACCGTCGGTCGCCCGACAGTTTCACCGTCCGTTCCGAGTCTGTGACTGTGGAAGTAATGGTTTCTCGGAGACTTGCTATCGCTCGATTTGCGTCATCGAACGTAGCTATCGTCTCGGGTAGGTCGACTAAGTCCTGGGGGTCCAAGGCCTTGAGTTTGACCTCAAGACGATGCCAGTCCACTACGGATTTGGTCGGAGGGACCGCGCCGGCGTTCTGGCCCAGTTTACACAGAACGGGCCTGTGATCTGAATCTAGTTCATGGATTGTCTCTATCGACTCGATGTCGAGCGAGACCTCCTCGAATAACATGATATCTAGGATACTCGGTGTCGCATGTTGGTAGTTGTCCACCGTAGGATACCTAGTGGGAGTCGTAGGAGCGATTATGCTAAAGTTTAAATTATCGGATAAACTAAAGAGATGCTTTCCGTTGTTATTTGGGATGCTGTGGATGTCCCATGAACCGTGTTTGCAGTTTAGATCTCCTGCAATTATCACGGAAGGGCCTAAGTTGAGTAGCGTATCTAGGTCGCTTTGTAATAAGGTTTTGTTCCCCGAGAGTTAGGGTGAGACTAGTACAAGCGGCCTGTGGCCGGTGAGCGCTAACCTACAATAATTACGCTAACCTAATTTCAAACATTTTGTAAAAGCCACATAAAATGGAAAAGGCTTATTATAATGTCTTGCTCTGCACTTGCAAGTCCCCTGGCTTCTGCTAAATTATACTGAAATAATTTTGTGTGTATACTTAAATACTTAAAAAAAAATAATAGCAATAAAATATAAATATATGACCGCAGAGTTTCTTGCCGGTTCTTCTCTTGAAGGTCTAGTTTAGTGAACCGGTGGTAGTTCTTGACGTTCAATAAGAGCTTAAAATAAGCCTATGTTGAATAAAGACATTTTGACTTTGACTTTGACTTGACTACACGCGGATGCCTCTATTTGACTAAGCTCTGGAATGTCGAGCGGGCAACAGTGCAAGGACCGTTTATAGTAAATTAATGTGCCTCCCAGACGGTTTGCTAACCGGTCGTGGCGGACAATGTTGTAATTTGCGATTCTGGAATCGCGTACACTAGGCTTCAAGAATGTCTCTTGCACTAGAAAAATATCTACGTTATAATCGCGAAGGAATTCCGCGATTTCGTCCCTTTGACCCTTTATGCCGTTTGCGTTGAAATACGAAACAACCAGAGCCCGAGGTTTTGTTCTACCTGCGGTTGTACTTCCCATTAATGTGTTTTTATGGTTCTAATTAACGACGCGGCGGAGCGCGGTTTTATTGCGCGGACTATTATGTCTTTTTATGGTTGGCTCGTAAGGCCCATAGGGCTTCTACAAGCGTTTTGTGTTGTCTGATTGCTCTAAGGCGCTCGTTGCCAGATGTGGCGGCCGCTATTTTAGCGGACAATACGGCGAGTTCCTGCCTATTGATTCGGTCTAATAGGCTGCAGATGTTGGCGATTTGCGCGAACGGGTCGTCCTTGTTTTCCGCGAAAACCGACGGAGTTGGCTGCACCTGTGGCCTCGGCGCCGTTTGATAGGCGGGCTGCGATTGTGCGATCGGTCGTGAGGCGACCGGGGGCGTGACTACCTGCGCGGCCACCTGGGGTTTCGCCCAAGCGTTTGTGACGGGTACGGGCGCGGTAACGTATTTAACGGGCGCGGGTTTGGGTAGAGTGGATTTCGCGGGAGATTTTCTCGCGGGAGTTTCCGGGGCCTTAGCGCAGCCTCTATAACTAGCCGGGTGGCCGGTGGCGTGACAGTTTACGCAGTCCGGTGGATCTGAGCAAACTTTCGGCCGCGTGCACTCGGTCGTGCCGTGGTCACCGGTGCATTTGACGCACCTAGGGTAAGCGAAGCAATTGTTGGCCGTGTGGCCAAAATGTTGACAGTTGTGGCACTGAGC